TTGTCGCTACCGGCACCGGTTTTTTCGGCAAATGCTTCTAGCTAAACAAATTAAGACTGGCCGCCAAAACTACCAGTAAACATCTCTTAAAATTTCAGATTTCTAGCTTTTCTGGCTCCTGAGTTAGCAGCCTACTGGAGGAAAACTTTCACGAGCCCGTACGTGGGTACCTCGCGTACCCGGAGACTGGTTTGAAGCTCATTAAGACTTACGTGGACGGGGACATCCCGTTAAGATTTTAGCCTTCTAGGTTTTCAGGTCCCTGAGCTATCAGTCTACCCGAAAAAAATTTTCACGGACTCGTATGTGGGTACCACGCTTACCAGGGGCTGGGTTTGAGCTCATTAATACCTACTCGGACGGGGAATATCCCCTTAAGATTTCACTTTTCTAGCTTCTCAGATCCCCGAGCTATCAACTTACCCGGAAAAAATTTCACGGGCCGTACGCGGGTACCACGCTTTGCCCGGGGACTGTATTTGAGCTCATTAATACCTTCTCGGATGGGGAATATCCCCTTAAGATTTCAGCATCCTAGCTTCTCAGATTCCCGAGTTATCAACTTACCCGTAAAAAAATTTCATGGGCTCGTACGCGGGTACCACGCTTACCCGGGGGCTTAATCATATCTGCCACTGGCTCGTTTTGCAACTGTGCGTCTCAGAGGCTGTGATATCCCTATTGGCTTTTATATTAAACGCAAAATAGCAAGATTTATCCGTCTTGACACTTGTTAGTAAAGTTAGTAAAGTTTGAATTACATTTCAGATTCTTTTCTCATTTCGTGTTGCGGCAGCGATGTGGAGTACGATCAGCGATTGCGATGAAGTTTATAATTATTGGGAACCGCTGCATCTGTTTCTCTACGGCACTGGCTTCCAGACCTGGGAATATTCACCCATCTATGCCATACGGTACATTTTAGTGGATTTTTGTTGAAATTTTCAAAAAAAAAAATTCTTCCGTATTAACAGAAAAACTTAAATTTTTGAAAAAAGGAAACTGCTTTTTCCACCGTATATTCCGGAAGAATGAAGGCATTTGACGAAAGCTGGAGAAGTACAGTTTTTACAGTAACAACCATCGTTTGCTAACG